AATCATTTCGAGATGAAAAATAAAAATGAAATAAAAAAACGAATTCGTTTATATTAACGTGGCAATAGAAAGTGGCGAAGGGGAAATTTATCTTTATTATCAAATCGTAAATTTTTTTCTTTTTTGTTCGAGTATCGCAAAAAGCCCAAAAAAAAAACATTTCAGTTTTGGATTTTATCGGAAAAATATTAAAAATTATTTTAAAGTGGCATTAATTTAACGAAATTAAAAAAAAGGAAAACGAAAATGGCGGCTAATTGAAAACTGTCAGAAACGGGTGTAAAAAAAAAAAAAAATTATCCAATTTTTCTATAGAATTTTTTATTATTCTTTCGAATTCGACGGGGGGAAAAAAAAAAAATTAAAATTATCTTTCTTTTTTTTTCGAATTCGTTCTAAAGACACGACCGGAAAAACTAAAAATTAAAAAAAAATTTCTTTACTTTATGAAAATTTAAAATAATTTTCCAACTCAACACTCCTCCTCCTCCTACTCCTCCCAAAAACGAAAACTTGGAAATTCGTCAATAGATAAACTTTTACCCTCGATTTTTCTTCTTCTTCCTCCACGATAAAATTTTCCTTATTAAAATTTTCATTCTCTTCGTTAAAGTTAATAATATTAAATAAGAAAATGGCGGCGGTCGGGGTGGGAAGTTTAAAGAAGAAGAAAAAAAAAACAAAAAAGCAGACGACGAACGTTGAAAATCTACAATCGGTTCCCTTCCCGTACTCCTCCCGCCCCCCACCCCCATCAAAATAAATCCAATTAATTTTCATTTTCTATTTAAAATAATAATACTCCGCCCTCTAATGATTATAATGATGATGATGATGATGACAATAATAATAATGATAATAATAATTATATTTATTTGTTTGAGGAGATTAAACAAAGTAACGGTAATTTAATTTTATTTAAAACGAAACGTAACGATTGAAATATTATTATTATTATTATTATTATTATTATCATCATCATCGTTTTAATATTATTGATTTTGTTATTTTAATATTTATTTATTATTATTTAATAATATTAAATCAAAATTTTTACATAAATAAATTTTATTAATGACGTTTACGAAAGCCTTAAGATTTCCGTTACGTTTTTATACAATAAACAATCATAACAAAACAATTGTTTTTGTTTTGATTCGATGTTTTGGCGCGTAAATATAAAAGTCATAGAGTAATGAGTAAGCAGAAAAAAAAATTTATTGTTTTAAAATTTTGACGCTTGAGCGCGCTTGCGTGCGGGCGCGAGTATGTGGAAGATCGCCATTAAAAATCATCATGTTCTTATTTAACGTTAAACTTTTTCAACCGTTCAAAGGTCAAAAAATGTCTTGTTATAAAATAAAAAATTAGTTTTTAGTGTAAAATTATTAAAAAGAGAAGAATAATACAAATAATAATAATAATGAATTCGAAAAAACGTTTATAATGAGAGGTAAATTAAAAATTTTATTTATTTATCTTGTAAACGTCCGCCATTTTTTTTTTCTCAAAATACGTTAAAACTAGACAAACGACTAGGAAATTAATTAATTTGTTTTTTCTCTTATTTAAGTTAAATTTATACGTTTGTATTATAATTAAATGAAACAAAAGAGTTTGTTTGTTTGTTTGTTTGTTTTACTTTTTCACAAAATTTCGTAACGGTTATTTTTTTTATTATTTAATCGACGCCATTGTTTTTCTTATATTGATTTTTGTGATAATATGAAATGAAAAAAAAATTCCCCTTCCCCTTTTAGTTCCGAAAAACAAATTTTATTCCGACAGAAAACAAAAAACAAAATTCAATTAAAAAAAAAAACCTTCATTGTTGTTGCTGTTGCTGTTGTTTTTCCGTTAACATTTTCATTTTATCAAACCGGAAGAAAACAGTAAAAATTATTACGTATGAATTTTTTACGACCTTAAAATTTTTTTTTTTTTTTTAGGAAAAAAGGTTTTTCCGGTACAAAAAAATCGAAATTTTCTTTTTTTTTTAAGTCTCTCACGTAAAGTGTGTGAGTGCGTGTATGCGTGTGTGTAAAAAAAAAATTTACGATCGGTTTTCTTCGCCTTTTTCATCTTCATTTTTATATTTTTTAACATAAAACATTTTTTTTTTTTTCGAGGGTAAAACTTGTGGGCGTGTTTTCTCCTCCATCCATCCATCCATCTTTCCCCCCCATCCACCCCCTACCCCTCCCCGAAAGAGAAAAGGAAAAAAAAATGTTTTGATACAAACAATTTTTGACACTTAAATTTCCGGTTTAATTTAACATTACGTTCGATAACTCGAAGAATATAAATTTCTTTCCCCCACCCCATCTCCTTCCTCTTCCTCCTTACATCCCCGTGACCTTTAACCCGCCGCATATACAACCGTGATATTATTTAAATTAAAAAAAAAAATCCTTTTGTTTAATAAAATAAAAAAAAAAAAACTTTTTTCATCCTTTTTCTTCTTCTTCTTCTTTTCATAAAATTTATTTTCTTTTGTTTTCGCTTTACGTTAAAATACACATATATTTTACTTTTTTTTCTTACATTTATTAACATTATATCTTAAAATAATAATAATAATAATAATAATAATAATAATAATAATAATAATAATAATAAACGTTTTAAAGTAGCCTTTGTTATTATTATTATTTTTTTTCCCCCCGAAGAGATTCTTTTCCGCCATGTTTATTTTTATTTATTATTATTATTCTTTTGTTTTATTAATAATTATTTATTAAATAAATAGATAAATAAATAAATAACTTTTTTCTTTTTTAGGAAAAATCGTAAAGAACCGGAAACGACGATATATCAAGTCAACAGATCGGGTCACGAACATTGTGACGTCACAGATGGTACACTTTTAGACATAACGCCACTGATAGTCGATGATAACAAACTAATAACGCTTTACGATAAGGATTTAACGGAAGGAATTAATTTTTTAATAGGTGAGATGTTTTTTATATGTAATATCTACTCCTATCTCTTTCTCTCGTAAGGAACCCGACTAACCTTTAACCTCCATCATCCAAACTCCATTTTAATAATAATAATTTTTTTTATGTTACCCGAAAGGGAAATTTAAAAAAAAAAAAAAAAAAAAAAACAGGTTAATTACCTTATTTTACCTGAACTTTAAAAAAACCTTTTTATTGTTTAAACAAAAAATTATAGTTTACAACGTGACCTTTACCCTTCCCCTCGCCTCCCCACGTACTCCACCCACTTACCTTTTGGTTTTGTTTTAAAATTTTAACCCTTTTGAACCTTTTTTTTCTTTTTTATTATTTATTTAATTTAATTTTAAAAAGGTTTAGGGTAAAACATTTTTATGTTTATTTTTTAAACAAATCGATTTAAAATTTATCGAAAAACATTTTTGTGTTTGTTTTGTTTTATAATGATAAACATAAAAAACATAAATTATTTTTTTTATATGTTAAAATCGTAAAAAAACAAAGAAAAAAAGGACAACAAACATTTTTTTTTATAATAAATTTTGTTATTACGAATAAAACGCGTTATAATGTTTTTCGGTTATGTTTTATGTTTTATGTTTTCCCCCATAATAATAAAAAAAAAATAATTTTTTATGATGATATTAAGTAAAAACATTATATTTTTTATTGCTGTTGCTGTTTGTTTCATTATAAAATTGTTTGAAAATATTATAAAATGTTTTAAGAACAAACAAACAAAGGAAAACAATGTTTTATGTTTTTATTTGTGTTACAGTTGTTTCGCAATTATGGGGAACACAATGCATTCGATTGAAAGTTACGGTTAAATCGGATAATTGTGGAGAAAATGCGGATTGTTCAAACAAAGGAGTTTGTTTTTCAAATGTTTCAATGGTAAGACAAATCATTTCCGGTTTGTGTTTAATTATAACTCGGTTAAAATTTTCCACGTACAACAAACAACAAATCAAAGAACGTTAACGTTTTTTTTTTAAAAGAAAATTTCAGAAAGAGGGTAGGAGGGGTTAGGGAGAGAGAGGGTGGGAAGGAGTAGGAGAGAGAGACGGGGGAAGATAAAAAACTTTTTTTTTTTTATAAAATGAAAATTTCCAGACGAATCCTGGATAAAAAAAAAAAAAAAACTTCCATCAAAACTTATAAAAAAAAAAAAAGCCAAAAAATTATACCTTTGGGTATTGTTCAAACGTTAAATTTATTTATAACATCAAAATTCTTTTTAAAAAAAAAAAAAAAAAAAAAAAGCAGAAGAAATTTTTTTTTTCCTTTTTTTCCTTTTTTTTTTTTTTCTCCAGTAAATACGAAAATTGATCCTTTTTTTTTTTTTTTCATTTTCCCCCTTTTTCTATTCCCCTTCTAATTTTACATTAAAACAAAAACTTAAACCTTTTTTTTTTTTTTTTTTAAATCCTTTTATAAATTGGTATTTTATTCCTTTTTATAAAAAAAGAAAATTCTAGAACAAAAAAAAAAAAAAAAAAAAAAAAAAAAAATTTGAGTGCGTGAGTGTGTGCGTAAATGCGTGGGTTCCATATTTTTATATATATAGAATTTTGATTTTTATTGATAAAAGAAATTTTTTTTTTTTTCTTCTTCTTTCACGTTAAATCCCTCGGGGTTTTGTTTTTATATCGTTTTTCTTTTTTTTTTTTCTTCTTCTGCTATTTAATTATTAACCCTTTTTTTTTCGTTTGTTTGTTTGTTTATTGCTTTTTCTTTTTGATTATTTTTTAACAGGAAGGATTCGAATGTCAATGTTGTCAAGGTTACATAGGACCACATTGCGAAGAAAAAGATGCTTGTTATCCGAGTCCTTGCAAGAGTAATAGCATATGCGTGGATTTATCACAGGGACACGATGGCGAAACTTTTCAATGTTTGTGTCCCTACGGTGAGTTTTTATTTTTTTCTACTTACACGAACCTTTTTTTTTGTTTTTGTTTACTCGGGAGAATTGCATTTTGCACTAACTTCCCCACCCCACCCGGTAGGTGGGATTCTTTCCCGCGGGAGTACAACCTGCATTTCAGCCTCAACCCTTTCCTGAGCCGGAACTATCCGCTTCACATTCGCGAGGAGGGAATCCCACCTTTTACCCTTCGAGAGACAATCCCAAGCTGCCACCATCGACCCTGCCTCTTTCGCAGGGTCTGCGAGTTTCCAGAGAGAGAGAGAGGGAGGTATCCGGGGTTCCGAATCCCGTTGATCGTTCATCTGTCTTCCTTTTACGTGGTACTTGATTCTATTTGGATCCTCTTCCTTTTCACCCTCTCGAACAAGGGTCGGTGCAATGCCTCGAAAGGGTGCTGGGTCACTTATCCCCTTCTTATCAAATTTTATCAGGTCTGTTCTTGATAGACGAGCTGAAATTGAACTCACGACCGTCAGCTCGATAACCTTCTTTCAGGCTCTCCCAAGGGATCCAATTTGAATATTTACTCCTAGCGGGGGCATCTGTCAACGTGTCAATCCCGAACCCCCCCCCCCTAAAACATTCTCTATACCTATCCTCCGAGTAGTTGGATTACTTGACTACACCACCACTCCTACCTAGATTATTTTTCTATTTACACGAACATTTTTTTTTTTTGTTTTTATTGCTCCTTTCGAAAAAGAAATTTCAATTTATAAAAAATTTTTTTTTTTTTTTTCGTTTTTATTCAACTGGAAATTTCGTTTTTATCTTAACGTCTTATCATTATTATTATTATTATTAATAAATTATCAGTATATGAAATGTTCAAATCCAAAATTTTCTTTTGATAAGAAAGGAAAAATAATTTTTCTAAAAAAATTAACTCAATAACTTTAATGAAGTTAACGTTATATCGAAATTTAACGAAAGTTTTCACAAAACTATTTAACTGGAAAAGTTTTTTTTTTTTTTTAAATTTTATCCAGTTGTTTTATTTATTATTATTATTATTATTATAAAATTTATATATTCCAGACTTTCGTATTAAGAAAATAATATCATTATTACAAATATATTCGTACGACATTTTTTTTGTTTTTGGGGGAGAGGGAAAAGGGCGGCAGCGCACAAAATCGAAAATTTAATTATTTTTTATTGTACTTTATTTTATCCAGAATTTTCCAGAATTTTTTTTTCCAGTTTAAAAAAAAAAATATAATACGAATATAAATTTTTATTTCGAAAGATTTTCAGGTAACATAAAAAAAAAAAAAACGTAACCGTAATTTTCTTTTTTTTTCTAATTTAAAGTTTTTTTCTTTTTTTTCTCATTTAAATAAACTGTTCCCAAGACGAATTACTAACGATATTTTAACGTGGCATTAGAAAATAAAAAATGAAACGACATCGACAAAGAAAGAGAGAAAGAAAGAAAAAAAAAATTAGAGAGAGAATTCTCTGATTTCTTTTTTTTTTTTAATTAAATTTTAAATAATAATGCGATGACTTTTTGAAATAATAATAATAATAATAATAAATGAAGGCCGGTTACGATAGTGGGTACGTGCGCGGTCCTGTGAACGAATCCAGGCTGATAGGATCGTGCCAGACGACAAACCGGATATCGACCTGAAAAATGGTGTAAGTTAATTGAAGTATCCGTACCGGGGGGGGGGGGAAACAGATGGAGAAGCAGACGAAAAACTGAAATAACCAGCAGGATGGGGGGGTGGGGTGG